TTCCTGCTGTGAGTGAATTGTAATAATATGCTAAGCTGTGCAAAACCTCGGGCCAGTGAGGAATGGGGGTGTTCTAAGGTGAGAATTGTCATATTATGAGGAGAAAAAGGGAAATTTCTCTTAAAATACACTTGTCTCCACCCCTTTCTCTCTCTCTCTCAGCTCCCTGGAGAGGTACAGCATGTTTTTTTGTACTCGACAGCTATTAGGAACATAGCTGCAGGGCCAGCCAAGAAGAGGGAAGAGAGGAAACCAGTAAGTTTCACAGACTCCCTGGCTTGGGAGACTAGACAGCATCCAAAGTCATTATAACATGATAATATACATAGCCAGTCATTCACCTTTTGTCTGGGAAAAAAGTCTTATGCACACCTCTAACCATAGGAGCTTTACATCTCTACTCTGGCCTGGTTAAAACTCTGCACAGTCTGAGAGGTCTTATTCAGCACTGACCATATAAGTGAGGTCAGAGTTAGGTGCTTACATTATTTTTAAAGCATCCACTTTTTCCACACCCCCACAAAAATCACTTTTGCTTTTGTCAAAGTCACTTTTATGGGTCCGGGGAAACGTGGAATATAATGTAAGACACTAAAATAGTCTCACTCAACCCTATTCTGCTGCTCTTAGAGAGACCATTATCCTATTCTGAATATTCCACTGACACCAAACAGGACAAAGAGTGGTCCCTCCATAAGTGCATCTCATTGCTGGACTAATCTGCCAAGCTAGAGTGCTCATATCTTAGACCCTCATGATTTTATTCTGCCTATTCTTCACTCTGATTTCCTTTCTAGCCTTTGTCTAAAAATCCTTTATATTTTTTCTATTGTTCCTCTTCCTCTACACCTTCTTTCCACATGAGCCCAAACCCTCAGTGACCAACATGGCAAGTATGCACCTTAAAATTCTCGCTCAGTTTTGCTACTTCCTTCCAAAACAGGGACAAGTATTTTGAATTTATAAAAATTCTACTGAAAATTTCTCCTCAGCTATTTTCTTCTACTGCAAACAGTAAAACAAAATGGTAATTATAAAAACTATTACAAAATAGCAAGAAAGAAAAAGTTTCCCAGCTGAGGAAAGTGAAGTCTCTCTGGTTTTATCTGATGGCAGAACAAAATATACCCAGGTAATGAAATGGAGGTAGAAAAAAGCAGGAAAACAGGATACATGTGGGACAGAACATCAATTCAAGCGTGCTGGCGTAGATTAACATCTACCATCAAAAGTGATGCCGATCAGACACACGTTATTAGCACTTTTTCAGCATCTTCATCCTGATTGTGTAAAAAATAAATTATCCCAAACGACCTTAGACACAATTGTGCATTATTTCCATGGGGCAAGAGGGCATATAATGCCAGGCATACCAAGGGGTTATTTTTCTGGGATATTACAGGGTCCAAAACACAGGCTTACGTGTGAGCTCTGCTCTTAAAGCTGAAGGGTTCTGGATGGTTTTGGATTCTGTTCCAGATCCAGTGTCATAATCCAGCTCCCGATAGTAGATGCGGTATCCCAGCAGCAAACCGTTCACACTCTCAGCTTTGGGTGGCTGAAAAACATTCACATGAGGAATGGGCATTGTTATAATGTGCACTGCAACAGAATTCCACCACCACGGGCAGGGGCTGACACATGTCCTGTGTGAAGGGACACAGTGGTGAAAATAGCCATTACTAATACACAGAGGAAAAGGCTGTGCGATCTGAAGCACACAAGTTAAAGGCAACTTTGATGATTTCACTCAGCTGTAGCAAATACAAAAGGTCCTTTACTTAAAAATTGATACCCAATGCACTACACTAAGACCTAAGCTGCTTTCCTTCTTGGTCCACAGAAACTTGTGCATGATAGAGAATATAAATAAGCACCTCCCTGAAAATGCATGTGGTGGCCAACAACAGTGGAAGAGCAAAACAGGATTTCACCTCTTCCGAGATGAAAAGAAATAAAGACAGAATTTCTTTAGTGGCATTATTTTACTGAAAGATTGATGAGAAAATAGCAAAGAATTAGGCACATTCTGGCCTTAATTAGGAAGATGAAAATAGGTCTAAGAGTCTCAGAGAGGGATTTAGGGAGGAGTCACAGTTTGATGGACACTGGTGTGTTGCACAGGTCCAGCCTCCCAGGCAAGCCCAGGTCTCCTCCAGAACAGCTTGGAGCAGTATGGTGCATTGGGCTGCTCAGATACGAGGTGTTTTTTCTTCTGCAACGTGTTGGAAGCTTCTCAGAGACATAGTACCTCAGCAAGGATTCTTTAGCAGCCCCTCACATCTTCCTTCAGATACAGATATACAGCCAGTACACTGAAAAATGAGACTTTTGTCTGAATGGCTTGCTTACACAGAGATACAAGCAAAAGGACTCTTCATGTTTGGGAGGGAGGGGGGCAAATTTAATGAGTCTCATACAGGGTAGAGAACTTCAGAGAAGAAAAGATGCCCTGAGCCATTTATCTTCTAAAGATTCTTGTAGTGAAATTTAAGGGGCTGAAAGTATAAATGAAAAGGATTTTAATGATGATCTTGCCTTTAATCCAGAAAGACCCCTAGCAGCCTTGAGAACTTTACTAGGAAAATCTTCTGTCCGTTGTGGAAAAATTAACCACTGGTGGGAAAGGCAATCACAACAGAAGGTAATACGACATGTGTTTTTCATGAAGAAAGTAAGGATGTTTTTACAGGAAAGGAGGAGGATATTTAGTAATAACCCAGCATTCTGCCTCCAGAAACGACAAGAATTTTCCCTTACTTCATTATGATGGCAAGAGGAGAGAGAAGGTTGTCCTGTCTCAATGCAAAGGACATCGCTTTGGGTGAGGGCTGAAGGTATAAGTAGAAAGAATGCAGCTTATGGAAACCAAAAAAGAAAATTATGTGAACCAGAGTATAAGAAAGCCACACAGCTACCAGGAAAAGGAGCAGCCACTGCTCCTGCAAGAAGCTGCATTCTTTTGCTGAAAACAATCCAAATAGTCCCAAGATCTTGCTGTATTTGCTCTGCACAGTTGGAGAACCTCATTCATCACTGCTTCATGTTCACTACTGTGCTCCATCCTTTGGGGGAAGCTCTGACCATGTTTCACTATTATTTAGCACCTGCATTACAGAAAGATCTGGGAATACAGGATTGTGAAGGACCTCAAGAACCATCAAGACCCTCAAGACTGCAGAAGGTCAGCTGCTTAAAGTCCTTTTCACAAACAGAGCAAACTCTACCAGAAAACAAGCTGATATTTCTGCTTCCCAGTATTCCTTTTGGAAAGCTGTTCCAGATCTCACTACTTGGGCGCTTAGAAACCTTCATTTAATTTCTAATCTAAATAATTCATAGCTAGTTTATAACCATTTGCTCCTGTGCTAACATTGCCTTTTGGCTTAAATTGTTCTGCTCCCCATGGGGCATTTACTCCCGTGATGTATTTTAAAAAGGGCAATCATATTCCCTCTCAGACTCCATTTTACAAGGCAAATTAATCACCCTCTTGTACAAGAGCCTTTCCTAGTCACGTGTGACTAGGAAGAAGAGCCCCTTCTTCAAGGGACTGAGCAAACAGAGCAAAGTGACAGCCTGCTCCAGGACTGCCTGGTGACATGGTCCTTCATGGACCAGCTGGAACGTTCTCCCCTGCAAAGTAAAGATGAGACATGGTTTACTGGTAATTACTAGTGTATCTATTATGATCTTTTTTTTTTTCTTTTCTAAGCTTCTGACCTTCCTCTTTTCTAGCTTATACTGAGTTTGCTTTACCCTGATGGTGCCCTAGCAGAGAAAGGCTCCACACCATGGCAGTGTCCTTGCCACCTCCTGGCCTGGCAGGGAGGAGTCATGGCCCAAAGCACAAGGACTGCCTTCTCCCCAGGCAAGGGCACAGAGAAGCACTGTCCCACCAAGACACATCCCTGAGTACATGATCACAAAGGAGGAGAGAGGCTGCAAACAACCAAAGCCTGTGCTCATTCACACGGTGCAAACATCACTGTGAACATTACGTGGATTTGTATTTCAGTTAATTATTATCTAGAAGGGAGGTGCTCTTGGAAAGATTCTATTTTCCTATTTTAATGCATTTAATTTTTTTTTTAATAAATAAAAAACCACCCCACAATGAGGTGGAATATCCTACAGAATCTTAAAAGGAAACCACTACTGATGCAGAGAAAGAGATTTTTACTCCCTACTCTGTCACATAGCTCCCTAACAGGTAGAGCTAATTCCTCACTGTGGTACAACACTGGTTTGTTGATTGCAAGCATTGTTTTCTTAGGCTTTCATGTGATTCTCCATTTTTTCCTTCCTTAAATTTAAGACAGGGGAGCTCAGAAAATAAATGGTTTGAAAACTGTTCTCCTTGCCATGGAAATGATGATTCTTTCCTGAAAAGGGTACTCAGCTAAAAGGTCAGGTCTTCCCCTTCCTATCTGTCTTTCATGGACAAAACTCTGCTTTTGATGTAATGGATTATTTAGGATTTTATAGGAAAGCCCAAGGGATCTGCTGAAATAGGTAAAATGATTATGAGTGGCAGCCTGTAATGTCATAGAGAAGTAAGAGAAACATGGTTTTATTATTATTTTTAAACAGCACAAAAAGACCAAAATGTAAGTTTGAATAATTGTTATCTCTAAGGCAGAAGCAGAACAGTACATGATGCTGATGTTAACTGTAACATCCCCCAGAACATTTGAAATACCTTGCATTATTGATACAACAGACCTCAGTGGAAATTACTTATTTTCTTCCTACTTTAAATTTAAAAATAATGGACTGATTGGACCAAGCAGCTGAAAGCACAGATAGTGCATCCAGAGTTTGTTTTGTGAATTATTCACACGGCTCAAAGTTAAAAATTTAGCTTTGCTTGGAAATCTACTCTCCCATTTAGCTTGACTGCTGTTTTTAGTTTACATTATTTCTTAGACACCACTGTGAAACTTCCTCCTAATTGGAGGTTATTGTGGGACTTGAAGATTTTTGTTTATTTGAAGAATATAGTACGGCTGAATTACCAGGACCTATTAATATACATGTAGTAATGACATATAATCGCCCACAACTCCCTTGAGATGGCTCTGGCACAACCACCCCATTTCATTTTCATGAAATAAAAGGCATCCAATTACCTAAACAACCACCTATTTCACATTAACTACACACCAATAATCAGTCAATTGGGGGAATGTTTGTTTCTGTGGTACATCATGCCTCACATCCTCTTTGTCCTCTCTTTGTGTACCTTTTTTCCTTCACCGTGGGCTTTATTTGTAGGTGGGGTGGTAGATTTACATCTCTCCCTAATTTCTTTGGTAAAACTGTTCAACATGCTGCAAGCAATGCTGTTGCTTGGTATTATGCTGCGTGAGCCTGGGCCAGCAACCCAGCAGTACAGCCAGGCACATTTTTGACACTGCTGCTACATATCAATAAACAGACCCTCATACATATATTTTTTCCCCAAAATGCAAGGAGGCCCATTTGTACTGTAAATATATGTACATTTTTCACTATAAATACAATCAGCCCAAAGTTATCCTTGTTATGTGGGGGGATGTTGTCTCAGGAGCAGGGTGGGCAGAGGCTTAGCAGGACAGGTTAGTGAGAACATGCAGTACCCCACAGGGTTCCCCACATTAATGTTCACTCTGCAAAAAGAAGCCTCAGGCACTGGGTCACAAAATGTTCCAGCATCTCCCAGGAGGCCAGTATTGAAAGACAAAGGAAAGCAGAAGAAATGCCTATAAAAAAACACGGGCTTGGCAGGAATACTTCCACATCCGACTCAGAGATATTACAGAGCGCTCAAACTTCCTTTCTTTTCTCTGAAGAAATCTCAGGTTTTAGCCCTCAAAAAGCCAAAAGGGCATGTGGAGTTCCTCAAAGGTATGAACAGGATCTCAGGCACAGCATGTGCTTCTGATTATTTCAGCAGCTAAAGGAGGCAGAATGGGATGTGAACGAAGGTGAGCTTTTGATTACCTGATCTTTACCGACGCCACACTCTGTTGAATGCTTTCCATGTAAAGATGCCTGTCTCCTGATATCAACGAAAGGACAGGAGAATCTGTACAAGTAATGACCTTGGGCATCACTACAGAGACTCCTTTACCTCCCAAGCTTTCCCTCATGGGGCACAAAGTAAAAGTAACTGCCAGAAATTTCCATCCATCACTAAAATATATGCCTAGATCAGGAAAATAGGGAAGTAGCTGCAGTCCTTCAACTTTACTACGCTGCTTCCAGGTCAGGAAAATGTCCCTTGCAATGTATTATTAAGGCAAACAAGTCAAAGCAACAAGAAAATTGTTCCAGAAACATCAGATTTTTTCCTTTTACCTACCTGCCACTGCACAAGGACAGATGAGGTTGTGTGGGGAGTCACTAACACAGAACTGGGTGGTTCATCTGGAACTAAACAAGAAAAAAAGGTAACCAGAGCTGTTACAGCAACAGGGTGGGAAACAGGCAGCTTTTATTCATCAGATTCTCTTTCTTCACTGCTGAAGAAAATCTTCTGTCCCAGCTACTACGTGGTGTGTCTCAAAAGCAAAGCTGTGGATGTGAACACTGCAGTCCAGGCAGAAGCCAGCCACTTCTCACACACCCCTCGCTCTACCTGCAGCCTTGGCAGCTCGACCAGGAACAAGAGAAAAGGTGAGGGCATAAATCTGAAGGAAGCTGCAGCATGCCAGCCACTTACAAACGACTGGATACACACTGGAGAGGAAGTTAAACCAGCTGTGTGCACGCTTGAAAGAGTGAGCAAACCACTCCATCGTATTTTTGCCACAGAAAAGGTGAGGGCATAAATCTGAAGGAAGCTGCAGCATGCCAGCCACTTACAAACGACTGGATACACACTGGAGAGGAAGTTAAACCAGCTGTGTGCTTGAAAGAGTGAGCAACAGTTTTGCCACAGTTAGGGCAAGCCCACCTTGTTTTTAGGAGCCTGTGTCACACAGTCACAGATTATTTTAGTTAGGACAGCTTGTTTTATCATGGGTTAACCCTTTCCTGTGGCTGTGGCCCATCACCCACTCTCACACACACGCTCTAGCAGCTCCAATACGAAGAGGAGAAGGCTTATCAGGAGCTGACAGCCCTCCACAGTGCAATGCTCCAGTGGCAGACCCAGGTTTGCTCAGCGGAATAAACGTTCAGTTTGTTAAGGAAGTGAGAAGCTTTCACAGGATTTCCCTGTTGCATTGTGAAGAGGCCAAACACAGCTCTGGACTCACTGCAGCTAAATTCAAAGAGAATTGAAAATAAAATTTTCAGTTGTGAAACGGTGAGTCAGTGCTGCCTCATTAGTAGCAGATACAGCCTGCACCCAGCAGCAGCTGCTGCTCTGGAAGGTGGAGAGCTAGGTGGTCTTTAAAAGGCTGCTAGGCACATTATTCAGGCATCACATGGGTTCTTGCCTAACGTGGGATACTCCTGAGCTCTGGCCTCTGTTTTGCTGATTTCAAGATCACATTCTTTAAAAACTCTTTGGCAAAAGTGTTTCCTATTTTTATATCTCAATGTCGTATTTAACTAGTCATTCCATGAGCTGTATGAAATACTAGCTAATCTCTAGCACCACATATCTATATATCTGTGTCTATCTATCTCAGTATTTCTCATGCCATTTCACAGGCTAAGGGTAAATACTGATGCTTTTTTATGCTTCGCAGAGGTCCTTTCTCCATTCAAGACATGAGCTACTTCTGCATTCAAGCATTGACTCTACACAATCAAGGAATTAGAAGCTGATCTCTAAGGCTAAAAATAAAAGCCTTGTCAATGTCATTCACAGTTTATTAGCCCTGATCTGCAGGATTAAATGCTCATGTTTCCAGGAGCTTCATGCTCTTTCTTACTTATACCTCAGCAATTTTGCATATTGCAGACTGATGTGGATTGTGAGTGAAAACAATTGAAGAAACTTCTTCAAATGTATGCATGGTTCTACATTTATTTTTAATGAGCTCTTTAAATTATTCAATTTCTGCAAAGATAATGGTTAGTGCAGAGTTTGGAAGCCAATCAAACGGAGTTTAATTCCATTTTGAGACTCCTGAAAGTATGATTCATTATCAGAGGGCACAGCAGGCCACTTAAGGCTGCTTGTTTTAATTCAGCCACACCTCATTACTACCTGTATCAATCTGCTATGAACAGAACTGCGCTGGCTGTTGGATTTTCACTCCACAGTCCCAGTGGAGCACACACTGCAGTGGGTCCAGCAAGCCCAGGAGCACCCACCCCATGCCTCTCCTCCTCACTTACCATCCTGCAGGGTTGTGACGGGCTCAGTCTCCACACTGAAGTCACTGTCCCCGATGTCGTTGGTTGCCTTCACCCGCAGCCTGTACGACGTGAAGGGGTTCAAGCTGTGGAATGTAAAAAATAAGGCTGCAGGTTGAAATCTCCCTACACCGCCACAATCTGCCTCAGAACAAGCCTCTACAGAGGACCTGTCCACTGGCAGCTGAAGTCATGGAGCTGTTTGTCTCTTCTCCACATGGCCTTTCCCCTGCAGCCTCCCCCAGCTTCCTCGTGGCATGGGGTGTTCACACCCTTGCTACCACCAGCATCCTCTCAGATTTCCACTGGCCTGAGTTCCTGAAAGCACACACGGATTCACAGCTGAACTGGGCTCCAGGAAAGAGCCATGAAGTCGCCGTTCATGGAGCAGCCTATGACTGGGGCTGGTTGGAAAGGACAAGATGTGCTGTTATCTGAGTTTTGCACAGCTATCCAAAACCAGGCTTTCAAGGTGCCTGAGATATCCTCAAGACAAATCTGTGGGCCAGCTCATCCTCGGTGCATGGGTGGAGGTGACATGCAGAGAGGAAGCAGGTAAAGTGCCCAGGGTCACCAGTGTGCAGCAGGCACTGGAATTCAGAGCACCAGCCTTCTGACTAATCCTCCAGACCACACCATTTGATCAGTGCCTTTTATTCCTACTGAATTTCGAATTAATGCCATTACCTGGATTATTTAATAAAGACAGTAACAACAGGTTCCCTGCAGCTCTTTTATCTACGCAACGCTTTAAGATATGCACAGAGTGATTTCCAGCTGACATAACCTTCACAAAGATTCTTCTCTCTTGACTTGGCAGGGAAGGGGTGGGGGAGGCTGCCTTCTTAGTAACATGCAGAGGCTAGAAATGCAGAGCTGTAAGTTACAGGGGATTTAGCTAATTAATTGCTAGTGTCTAGCCATCAGCTGGCAGATATAACGCTGACTCCAAACCTGAGTAAAGTTACTCGTAAGGAATGATTAAACATTAAGGGATAATGCATTCTGATGGGCAGCACTCTCACATCACGTATGTGCTGCTCCTCTGGACTTTCACAGGAAAATGCTTTTAGCAAGAGAGAGAAGAAACATTTTTCAGCAGTGCCACCCTTGCAGGACACCATTACCTACAGCAGCTCAAACAATTTGAATGGTCTTTCTTGATCTTTTGTTTTCAGTAATGCCGATGTCAACTCTAAATTACCCACCTTGTTTCCATGATCTTACAGGTTTTGACTGCAAAGATACTGGGTATAATTCAGGTTGGTTATAAGACCTCCAAGGTCAATGAATCAGGTCTATATTTGTACCTATAATTGCCAAGTTCTCTTTTTTTTCTGCACAGTTAGATGAAAGGTTAGGAATGTATCTGTATCTCCTGGCACATGACCAATGAGCTGCCATATACCATAGCCACTGAAGTTTTTATAACAGACCTGAAAAATCTGTGTCTGAGTGCTTTAAACACTTGATTCTCTGAAAGCTCACAGCCTTTTAGAAATAACCTAATTTGTACTAGCTCGTCAACAGAGGAAATGGACAGCAAAACAAGTACCTCCTCATAGACATTCAATTGCTTTCACAGATGTTACAAGGACTTTAATTACAACAGCATTGCTGAGGATATAATGAAGCCTGAATAACAAAGTTCAAACATTCTGATGCTATCTATAAACTTCAGTATGGAAAATACAGATAAAAACGGTTCTCATTTCATCTGGAAAAGCTTATATAGAGATAATTACAACGCAGCACTGAGAGGATTTTAACATCAACCACTACTGCAGGGATTTTTAACTAGTTGTATTTTACAGAGCATAGCGTAGCTACGTATGGTTTAGCCTGTGTAGCTAAACGGTGCTACCTACAGCGTTGAGCTTTCAGGAAGGGCTTCAAAAGATGCATTGCTATCCAACTTTAATTAGATTTATGGCATGACCTTCAGCAAATCTCTCAAGCGCTGCTCATACCACCCCCTCCGAAATGGGAGATGGGATTTCACTTAACCCCTCTCCCCCAAAAAGACTGTGAATTTGACTGCTGCTTGCTTTAGTTTCCTAAAAACTGGAAGTGGGAAGTGTGGGAATTCCTACGCTAGCCTGGGATCAGGTGATACCTTTCAATGATGCAGGACGTTGCCTCGTGGCTGATGGAGGAGGAGTAGGTTTGCCAGTCTCCATTTGGCAGTTCTCGCACTTGTACTGTGAAATATCGTATTGGTGAGGACCCATCACTCCCAGGGACCCACTTCAGCAGCAGGCTCCGGGATGACACATCGCTCTGGGGGGTCATCACCTGCCTGGGAGGTGCTGGTCGTTCTGCAATGAAACCATAGGTTGGTACTGCTTTGAGAGGAAATTCAAGCTAGCATAAAATGTGACAGTCTGATCGGGTTTTCACAGTTTTAATGGCACAGGAGACTGAACTTTTGGATTTTCCCCATGAAGTACACAAGCCACCCCATTCCTTAACCTTTTACTGAAAAGAACAGCAGTAAAACTGATTCTTAGCTCCATGCATAAAAGGCCACCATTGGATATACACCTTTCTACCAACAGACACCACACTTGGGGGTCTGAACCTGGCGGGTTAAGGAAGAATCATCAGGACCAGCAGCCAAGAAAACCAAGGGAATCTTTAAGGAAACTCAGCTAAGCCTCTAGCTGCAGCTGCTCTTTTAAAAGAATTTGCCTGTAAACTAGTTCACTTTTCAACCTGTGCTTACTACTCACTACCACAGAACCATGTTCTCTCCATGTTAGCATTCTCCTCCACCAGCTGCTCCCCAGCCAAGGCATGAAGAGGAGGAATGAATGAGCTGGAACAGGCTGTTGTGACACTGGATTCCTGCACCAGCTCTCTCTGAGCAAGGAACCAGGAACCATTAGCAGCTCCTGCTGCTGCTGCTTCCAAACCCTGGCTTGGAGACGGAGCAGAGCCGAGGCTTGAGTACCTGCCGCAGTTCCCTTCCAGATCTGCCCGATTCTTCCTTTCATATCCACTAACCTTGAACCTGCAAAGTCAAAGCAGGCAGTGCCAATGCTGAGGGAGCTCTCTCCAGAGTAATTAAGCGTACAGGGTTTGGATGAGGCAGGGAATGGTAATGCAGGTGTAAGCATGCCAGTCCCCAACCCTCCCAATATAGATCTCCTTTCCCGTCACTGCGGCTCCGCACTCCATCGATTTCAATAGAGAAACTCTATAGAGTGAGGAATAATTGTTTAATTGTTTATCATGAAGATTATTGATTCTGATTAAAATGTGTGGCATGTAATAAAGCAGAAATTGATTGGAGACACCGCAGTGACTTGCTTTTGAGAAGCAATTCAATTCAACTTCATCAGCACTTGTTTCCATAAACACACCTCTGCTTGCCTGATCCCTCACAGCTCTGGATGCCAAGCACTTCATTTCCCTGCCATCCCCTGAAACTATTTCCTATATGTTTTTGGCATTTCTCTGCAGCATGCTCTTGCTGACATCGGTGCCCAAAGATTTGTAAGCTATTAGCTGGAGGAAGCCCTTGGTGCCAGCAACCTGTGAGCCCAAGTACAATGCAAAAGGTCAATGCCTCACACTGACAGGCTGAGACAGGTATTCAGGGTTCTTCTATCAGAGGAAGTGAGTGTCGTGCAGGGATTTAATACTCTCTGTTGATAAGCTTTACCCAGCTTGCAGTTTTGGGCAGGTCAGATCTTGTAGACAGTGTCCCATGATTGTGTTTCCTTCTGCTGCTAATGAGAGATCTTAAAATCTCCTCTATTGCAAGATATACTTCCTGACTGTTTGTACAAAACCATTAGTATAAAGAGTTTATTTATGGGAGTTTAGCCACCAGCAAATGCTAAGGTGAGCTGTTTGTGCAGGAATGGAAGGCCAGGCCATATGACTCCATGGAGCACTTATAAATTTCTGACTACATTTACATCCCCTGTCTCAGTTCTGCCCTGATCCCTGGTGTTGACTACTCTGAAGGGTATCACATCAGTATATAGATGGCAAGCACCACAGAATAACCTTGGGAAAAAGCAGACAGAATACAACTTAGGATCTGTAAATCACAGGTATTGTTGTAAAATGTAAAGATTTATATTGAGATTACTCAAGGAATTTCAAGGACAAGAGTAACCAATTTTTCTAATTTTCAAGAGAATTTTTGTGCCTACCTTAGTATCAAGGCCTACAAGGATATTAAATGTGTTTCTACAAATGGAAATTAAATATCTTTTCACTTAAGAATATTTATTGTCATGTATACAAGTTTCAAGTTTGTTTATTTACTTGTTAGCAGAATAGCTGCACTGGATAAATTTCGTTATCATCCCCTCATATCAATCTTGCTGATGTGAGATTGCACATTCTTCTCTCTACACGTTACATATGGGATCACTTCAGCTAAATCTCAGTGCCTTGGGACTCGGTTCCATTGCATGCCTAGAGACACAGCAGAGCCATCCATCAAAAAGAGAAAGGGTTCATTTTATACTATGCCTTGCCTATTCAAGATAACCCTACAGCATTGATAGCAACGAGGGATTATTGTTCCTGCAGCAGAGCTGGGAGTTCTGCCTTGAGCTATTGTGTACCCAGCAACAGCTTGTGTATGGTCTGGGAAATCAGAACACATTTTATTGAAAAGGAGAGGCTCCGAGCTTTGAGCATTCACTTTATTTGGCATGGTGGGTTTTTTTAAAACTTCCATATGTTGTACTTTAAACTTCCACCCACTTTGACAGCAACTAGACAGCGGTGGAAGAAACCTTGAGCTGATAAATCTCTTTGATGGACAGTATCTTTAGTAGAGGCAGTTTAAGTTTCCTAATACAGCTCTAGAGGTTCTTTCTCCTAGGACTGCACTGGGAAGGCTGCACACGACCTAAAAAGATATGCCAGTGGGAATTTTAACACCAGCTAGACAGGCCAGAAGTGGTTGAAATACAGCCCACAGGTCCTCACTGCTGGTGGCGGAACATGAGGCCAACGTCAACTCTTTTTAGAAGAGTTATAGGAAAATTAAGAGGACATTGTGAGCAAACAGCATGGGACATCCTTACACTTGTGCTAAATGATTTGCAAAGTGTCGAGAGGACAAAACAAGAGATTGTCTAGCAGGCACATTTTAAGAACTTTAAGTAAATATGACTGGTTGTATTGTAGTGTAAGATTTGGGCAAGAACCAAGACCAGGCACACAAGCACATGCAAAGGAGCTAACAATAGTTGAAGGGTGTCTATGGAGGCCTGCCCTTGTTGCTGCTGAAGTGTTCTCCTCTCTGAACAGTGATTTTTATAAATCACAGAAGTTGCATGGTCCTAATTCTTGAGGGAGATGTTTTCTTAAAGAACAATATCCAGACAGCAGAGTGGGTCAGAGCAGCACACGGCACAAAATCCAGTGATGCACAAGGGAGTGATATTGGTAAAGTTACCCTGGTTAATTTTGAGTTTGACAGCTCAAGAGAACAGATCCATGATCTGCAGTGAAACATGACATATGGTACAAGAACAGAGGAAAACCCACACTCTGGTTCTTTACCAATATACTCTCTTTTAGCTCTAAATTAAAAAAGAAAAAAAAAATCCACGTACAAGTAGAAAATAAAATTTTTCTAACTGGCAGCACTAGAGAATGGTTCTAAGACTGGAGAACTGAGCAGTTACTTGAGCCAAAGCATTAGAAACAAGCAGTGATGCAGAGCAGATTCTGTAATAGCTTATGTGTCTTTCACATTTTGATACGTTCGGTGTCCAAACATCTGGTTTCATTCATACACACCTAACTCCTGCTTTCTTCAAGTAGGTTCCCTACCAAACAGAGTCTGACTAGAGATTCAGAATGCAAATAACCATTTTATGGCTGATGTAAGAAGCAGAAAAATTCTGGGTGACCCAGAAGCAAACACTCTGCTCGAGAGTGCAGCAGTGAGAGGCCAGAGCAATTCCTAACACGCTAGGTCAGGGCTGAGGTACGATGGAGGAGCTATGGAGAAATCCTGCAACATCACCGCCCCTCATTTTGCATTCCCTAATCAATATCATTCATCCATCACTTACTTTCTTAAGATTGCAATCTTTCTAGAAAACGAGAGAGCTGAAAAAAGATCTGCCTGCAGAAGGAGGCTGCATATGGCCAATATAGCAGCTGATGGAAAAATCAATCTCCAACAGCCCGGCAGGTTAGAAGAACTGTGTCTCATAAAAGTCTGTCTTGCTCACCAGGTTTCTCTAATCATGAGGTTGCTATGGTTTGGGGCGAGTTTATGGGGTGAGGAGGAGGAGGTGTGCAGGCTGTAGCCTGTTATTAAAATTCCCCTAAGTGCAGCACAGGCTCCGAGGCACGGCACAGCAAGTACCTCAACCTGTGGCTGCAGGCATTACCTCTTTTTTCTGTTGTGATCACCGTTGCTTCCAGAGGCTCCCCCCAGCCCTGCCTGGTCTTGGCAGACGTCCGGAAGATGTACGCTGACTCAGGGGTGAGATCTGTAGCAGTAAATTGCCTCACTGTTGAGCCAACCTCCACTGTTGTGAACTTGTTGGGGCTGCTGCTGGCCAGGCGGTAGGCGATCTGATACCCTGAAATCACAGCATCCACAGCACAGAGAAAAGGGGTCAGGATTTTATTTTTCTAGCAGGGACAAAAGGGCGACAAAATTAATAGTTTTAATTCCTTGGTTATTTGAGACCTGAGCAAAGTAATTTACTTCCTTTAGTGTATAGACTTCTGCTATGTGGCAGCCCTCCCCACTCAGGGAAATCACAGAGTGGCACACACAGGGGTCTGTGGAATATTATCTGCCATGAAATGGATTTTGCTTTCCATCCTTTATACTGCCAAGATACCAAACCAGTTTAACCTTTCCTGAGCATGCTGTTACCTTTTTGGAAAGGCAAAGGAACAGAGTCCATGCAGTTAATGCTGCCTGGTTGAGGTGAGACAATGCTCTCAGCTCTCCACCCAAGCACACCCACATGCTCATACACACATGCTCACACACTCTTCTGCCCTCTCACAGCTTCAGCACTGGCTCCAACTAAAGGTTCTTCAGCTGCAGAGCAGCTGGATTGCCCAAACTGTGCAGCCTTCATACCATCCAAGCAAAAGCTTCCCCCTGCTTTTTACACTTTGTTTTCTCAGCTCTCCCACTGCCCTGGAATTGCACAGCGAATGGCAGAACTGCCAATAAAAGTATCCTTCTTCTGTCACTCAACATCCCTGCCCTTGCCCACAGCCCAAGGAAGAAGTCTGCAAGCTGTGAGGTCCTGCTTCAACTGCCTGGCACTTAATAATCAATTTTGCTGATGCCTGTGAGTGCTAAGCCCCTTTCCAACCTGCCTGACAATTAGGTGTTCACAGTTTAACCTGCATTAGTAATGATCCAACTGTGGAAAGGAGGGGCTTCCAGAGCTCTCACACACCACTAGCAACAACTGTCCCCCAAAGAGGATCTGCCAAATGTTCAAATCCTTTCTGTAAACTCAGCAATTGAATCAGCCTCTCGCTTCTGGAGCTCAGTGGTAACTTTCAGTCCAGCTGCTGACTTCCAAAATCAATTAATACCAGAACTGGTGTGGGGCTTTATTGCCCAAGCTGGATCCAGTTGTATGATTAAACGCTTCATGGAGTTACACAGGGCAGAGGGCAGCCAACAAATCCAAATCAAACCAGCTGAAAACAAAACAGTCGTGACATGGTTCTGCCAACTCTCTGCTCATCTTCCGAACGACAAAGGGGTTTGCAGCACCTGAGACTGACTCTTTCTCTTGAAATTAATACCTCAAATTAGAGTTTGAACTCCCATCACATTTTGGCTGCAACAAGAACAACAGGAGCCAAACTTTATTCATGAAGGTCAGCATGTGAAAACTGAGGTTTTAATCTTACCAGTGCCTATTAGACAAAATCAGTGACGTTTATTTCCTGTTTGTTAATATGCAACAACTGCCACATGCCCACTCACAGAAAAGGCACAGAGTTCCCTTTGGAATTCCTTCCTGGTTCCTGGTGTATGCTGTCCCAAACAGTGGAGCTTAACTGGGATGCAGATGGTGTTCATTTTGGTGTGCTGACTCTCCCAGTGCCGTTGATGATGCACCAGTGATCTCCTGTCCCTTTTTCTCTGGTAGGTATTAGGGGCTGTGGAGCAGCAGCCATAGCTGCCTCACACAGAATGAATCTGACCCCACCGACACCTCAGAGAGTGCCTTGGCTCTCCCAGGAGCCTGACTCCATCCTGCAGGCTGTGCCTGCAGACAGCTCTGGGGGCAGAGACTCGCTGCAGTGCCTCAGCAGGCTCCGGGCACCACATCTGGAAAGGGGCATCAGGAGCAGAAGGCTCCCAGTGGCCAAGTGGGCTCAGCCCCTGCTGCCCGGGGTGCCCTCACCCCCCACGGCTGTCAGGGAGTCAGGGAAATTCCTACAGCAGCATTTTCACAGCTGGGTGGATTGCATTAGGCTACTAGATAAAGAGTGGCCTGATTTTTCAGACCTCCTGAGCATGCTTAGATCCTTGCAAAGTCTTAGGGTCTTACAAGTTGAACATTTCATTTCTCCACCTGAAACTACCTCCTTTCACCCACAGCACCAGCTCTCCCATTACTGGTCCAATATATTTCACTGAAGCATTTCTGTATCTTTAATACTACAGTATTCTGATCTTTTTTAAAGCCTACAGAAAGACAGCCAGCAATGGGGAGAAGGAACGGATACACTGCGATCTTTTTGTTGTTTATACAGATGTAAAGAATGCAGGAGTGAAAACCCTGGTGCAGGATTTCAATAAGGAGGGAAAACAGTCAAAGAAAAGCACTGGGGAAATTTTTCACAGCAGCAGGAAAGATGAAGGAAGCAGCAGCTAAGATGGCTAAAGAAGTTTGATAAAGGGACATAAGACGTAAAGAATAAGACCTGGAGGGAAACAGAATATTGAAAGAATAGAAAAGTTGATTTATCTAGTTATTAAAAGATAAGTATGATATCTGGGACACATCCTTGTCAAGCAATTTCCTCTCTTTTCTAAACCTTTGTAAAATACAAAGTGTAGTTAAAATGTAAGGAGGGAATAGAAAGATAACTATTTACTGCTACATGGTGGTGCTCGTGCTGGAAAGCCAATTACAAACATGCTCAGATTAGGCAAAGGAAGACAATACATATCTAGGCCATTATAATAACTTACACAAGAGTCGGTCCTTGGCTAGTGCAAAAACTAATTTAGCCATTGAGAAAGAAGAAATCACTTGTCACAGCCAGTCTCTCTGACAGGCTCCACAAACTCCCTTTCAACACATCCCTGTGAAAAACAGTATCAGCTCTCGCTGTCCTCTCCTACACCTGCCATGTTCACTGACAGTCTGGGTAAATAGCTATTTTCCTGGATATCTCAGGCAGAGTTTACACAAGCAGAGCCATCAGCTTTATATATTTCCTCAGAAACTCAACACTTACCTCAGTCTGATTCAAAGATACACATCCAACCTCTGCACCTGAACTCAGCTCGCTGTTATTGCTGCCTACAACACACCTGAGAGACACCCAGGATCTGAATTTTGATCCTCTGTCACCTTCTCCTTTTAGGCAGCTTCAGACAGCCAGGATACATCCTGGCATAAAAAACATTGCTCTCCTTTTTTTTTTTTTCTGAGTGACACAAAAGACACAGCATTTAAACTACAACTTGGATAATAATTAGGTCTAATGCAAGATCAAAAAGATAAAATTATTAAGTTGATGAATTTCAGCAACAAGGGATGGGAGAAGACAGGAAATGTTAAGTGAAATCAAACGAGGCAAATCAATAGAGGTAAATGGAAAGTGTTCAAAGAGAAATTAATGTATGCTCGAGGGCTAGAAGAGGCAATGACTGCAATTGCTGCAGTGGAGGAATAAGGAAGCTTCCTTCTCTTACTAGATTATAACAATAAGATGTCACAGATGCCTTAGATTAAAAAAAAAAAAAATTCAAAAATCAAAAGTTATGAATGACAGTAAAATCTTTAAAGGGTGATAAGAGGAAAATTCTTTGCAGAAGGAATTATCTTACAAAATATGAAGTATCTGGATGCTCAATAAGAATTCATATTTCTTGATTTTTCTTTCCTTTTTTCCCCATCTAACATTAGACCCCGCCTCCCTTCTGCTATTGGAGTTCTGTGCTTCATCAGGCCAAAACAGCATAAAAATGCCCTGAAAGATCAACTCTTCAGGAGTTTATTTATCCATTGAAACCAGGCTTATTTTTGCATTAGCATCTTTTTAAGTATTTTTTGCACAACTGCAAGCAGCTCCACGAGCCAGGCTTCCTGAACTCCATAAACAGCAACAGTCGGACCCGCCTGTTAAATGTTAGGTCACTGCAACACAACCAGTGGATTCCCCAAAGCAAACAGGCAGGAAGATGACAACATACCATGAATATAAAAAAGCTTTCAAGCTCATCACCATACAAAGCCCTTCAGAAGTGACAGCACCTGTTCACGCAGGCCGTGGTGCAGCAGAGATACAGACACTTATTAATTTGTCACAGAACTTGGGGAAAGCCAAATGATACTGGGAGGTTATGGTCTGCCTAGTGGAGCAGCAATCCAGGCTGTTGATTTTACTGCTTATCTGTTGAAGGGCCAGCGGGTGTGCAAACGCAGCCTGGGATCAAAATATGAATTTGCAAACATGGATTACATCCAATTTTAGTGCTAATTCTCAGTGGAGTTCTTATACTCTTTTGCAGTAAGCTTCAGGTAAATGCTAAATACAAGGATACCACGAGGAATACTAACCAGGGCCTGGAAGGGTATGGGCTGAGCTCTCATTTTCAGGGGGAGCTCATAGCTAGAAGTTAACATATGCACATTAATGCATCCTTTTTCTTTGACAGTATTTGAAGGGACTGTGTTGGGTGCTGGCTGAACAGAGCACAGAAAAGAAGACAGAGTAAAGCCTCACATGGTTAGCATAACATTCTCCAAAGGAGAAATGGAAATATCTAGCAGGCTTCCAAGGTAAAATATTTAAACAAACAAACAAGTGGTTTTCCCTCTTGGTGCCTGGCAGTATTTCATCCTGCTAATCTCTCTCTGAAATGCTAGAACATGTTTTGATATAGATTACAAAAATGTTAGCTGCAAAGGTGCTTGTATACTCAGAGGACAAAGCTGGCAGAGCAGGAACATTAGTTCAAAGGCTCTGAATATAAGTTGCTCTTGCAAAGCAAGTATTTTTTTTTTCTTTCCAACCCCACTACTGAATAGAAGGACACTGTGCAAAATTATGTTAACTTATTTTTTCCAACAACTCTACTTCACTTGACTGTAGAAGTGACAATGGTGTTTTGAAAGTTCATTACAGTAATGAAATTTAAAGGGTGTACAGGCAAAAAAATAAACTTGTACCTTTACTCAGAATGTCACACATTGGGTTTTATCTATTTTTGAAGCACAACTTGGTTCTTAGGAAAGATTATAAAAGTGCCCAGCATGAGTAATTTTTACTTTTTCTCTCTGACATTGGCAGCTAACCACTTCCTCCATGAGCCTCAGTATTTCTACTATCAAAAAAAGAATAAAGGAGAAGTGTTGAATAAAGACAATGGACTTCAAAGCCATGGACTGGGGGAACTGGCAGGCAATGTGCCCCTGGGAAGGAATTCTAAGGGAAAAAGGAATTCAGGTTAGCTGACAGTTTTAAGAGAGAGAAAAAAAAGGGTACAACTATCCCAATGCAGACAAAAGATGTTAAGAGGCCAATATATTGGTTCACTAATGACCTAAAAATCAAATCTGAATTGGACAAAAAGTCGAACCAGGACCCGGGTCTAAGGGAGTGTATAAATAGACAGCACGAGCATGCAGGGACAAAATCAGAGTGGCTAAAGTGCAAAGTGAGTTGTAACTTAAAGGGCATCAAAGGCAAGGAGAAACATTTTATAAATACATTAGAAGCCCGAGAGAAAGGAGAAGGACAGCTCAACTAGTAGGAAGCAAACATGAGCACAAGAGAGGTGAACTAGAAGAGAAGGGAAGGCTGATACCTCCCCTTGTTTCATTTTCACCCATGAAAAAAAGTTGATGTCAACTAGATACCTAACACAAATTAAAGCTGACAACAATATAAAGAGGGATGTAGACTAGAATAGAGAACAGGTTAACGAATATTTAGTTAAGTTAGATGTAATCAAGTCAGAAAGGCCTAATGAAATTTGCTCCACAGTGCTTATATAACTAGCTGGAGCCATCTCCAAATAATTAGTTATTATCTTTAAGAACTTGTTGAGGACAGGTGACATCCCAGAATATTACAGAAGAGTAAACAGAGTACCCTACCTTTTAAAATGGGAAAAGACCGACCAGAGGAATTATGGACAAATCAAACTAAAGTTCAATACCCAGAAAGATCCTGGAAAAAATATATGAGCTGACACATAATCATCGATGAGGATAATAAAGTGCCAAGGAACAGCCAATATGTATTTGTCTGGAGCAAATAATAAATATCAAATAATCTATTTTCCATTTTGAAAGTGTAATTGTGCCAGGTGGAAAGAGTAGATAGGGTCCACACTGACTGAAAGTAAGGCTTTAATATGGTTGCAAAGACCCTCATCAAAAGCAAACAGAAGAAAGAGAATCTAAGAAAAATACTACATATTTTGACTCAAAGACTTAAATAAGTCAAAATGCTGTTATCGATAGCTTGCTAAAAAACTGGGAGGACACATTAAGTATCCTGAGACCTTGTGAATGAGTCTGGTTGTGTTTGATACTTTCATTAATGACCTGGCTGACAGAATTGCCAGTCTACATGCAAACTCCAAAACTGAAATAAAATTGTGAGTGGCCGTGTGCACTTTAGAGGACAAGAGTCTCATTTAAAGTGATCTTGCTAATGAGGTGAGATGGTCTGGAATCAGCAAGATGGAATTCAATAAAGGCACCCGTGAATTATCACACTTAGAAAGAAAAAGCTTAATGTACATATAAAAGAGGGACTGACTGACCTGGAAGCATACTGCAGAAAAAGGGTAAGAATTAATAGTGGATCATCAACCTGCTTAGCTACACCATCAGTGTTGCAAAAAAAGGCAAGTCAGGACAGCAGGAAGTATTCTGGGATGTGTTACTAGGAATGGACTGTGCAAGAGGTTGGAAGGAACAGTCTGCATGCAGCAATAGTCTGCATGCTAAGCATGTCAAGCATTCTTTAAGGGACACCCTTCCCATCTTCCTTCCAGCCCTGCATTTCTATGATTTTATCAGTGATGAGTAAAACCAGCTGAGAAGGGGACACACTGCACAAAACACTCTGCAAAGGCAAAATAAAAGAGTTCCTACTCCGCCAAACTTGCAACTTCAGCAAATAAGGCTGACAAAGTGCAGCAACGTGAGACATTGGAACACAGTCGGGAGAGCAAAATCTCTTTTGTACTTTCTCATCATTTCTATCAAATGATTTTTTTCTCCTTAACCACATCCTGTGATTCAAATCCCAATCTCTACTGAGAGCGAGTTCTAGGACACACAGTTCCTTAAAATAAGCAACAAATCAAACCCACAAGACAACCTGGAAGCCAAGCTTCCTTGAGCTGCAGAGAAACCCTGCGTGGATCTATCTCTGACAGCTAACCACTGCCAAGCTTCACACAGACTTTCTCATTCTCAGAAAATCCCTGCAGCATCTGCCTTCAGATCCCATTTGATGATTTCCCAGCATCTTCAGGCATCACGATCACTTTGAGAAAGTACACACCTGAGCAAACACTTTTGTGCTCTTGACTCAGGTTTTAAATGCAATGCAAGAGCAGTTCTTTGTTTAAAGGGATGCCACCAATGCAAGAGTAAAGTGTGCACCCTTCACCCAACAGTGAAGGCTGCAGGAAATAATGCTGAAAGACTACATGCAAGCCTGAATGATAGCAGTGAAATTAGAAACAAAAAGTTCTGGCAGACTGAGAATGAAACAAAACCCAAAAGCTTTTGCTTCGTGTTTCAGATCTGGGAGACAAATCTTTACTCACCAGCATGAACTACTGTAAAATGTGTTTAACATCAGCAGAGAACATAAAATTGCTGGGTAACCATCAGCAACCTTAACTTTAGGGGCAAAAATAGAATATTACACTGTAAAAGTCTAAGTTCTACGTACAAGTAGTGGCTGGTGTACATACTGCAAAGGCAACCCAAGAGTTATGAGATCAGGAAGTTAAGAAGGTTTTTCATGAATTCCTGTCACGCCTTGTTGCCTCTATTTCCCCTGATGAAGAGCCAAATGTGAGGTAACTCCTTAAGACCTGTCAGACAGCATTATCCAAAGGAAGCAATAAAATAGAAGCACACATGAAACTGAAACATTGGTCATGCCTGGCAAAGGTCAGTGGGGGAAGGAGGGGCAAACCCAGCTCTACCCTGCTGCAGTTCTACAGGCACTTTGTCCAACAGCCAACCAAGCTGCTCACGAACTCAAATGCAGATGGGAAGAGAGATGACAATTCAAACACAGTGCCATGAGTGACATGTGATTCTGGATATGTTCACAAAAACACACACCATGGAGCCAGGCAGCCTTTTCCTCCTCACAAGTTATCATGTCTCTCAGCTGATACTGACATTTTCTTGTCTTTAGCCACAAATTTGCTTATGTGTGCTTTACAATCCAGCATTCAGGGGGAAGGAAAACCCAACAGCTGGAGCTCACTCTGGTCTCCACAGCCCTCTCTTCTCATCCCTGGATTCACCTCTCCCTCTTACCCAGAATAATTCCATTGGGCTCCTCTGGTGGCTGCCACACAATCCGTACAGATGTCAGCCTCACCTCAGGGAACACCAGTCTCACAGGTGGCCCAGGGGCTGGAAGGAAAAACAGGGATCATGCTAGCAAGCTCTGCATGTCAAAGGAATTACAAGTTTTCTGCTCACTTTGCACAGAAGGCAACCTAAGCCACATCTCACTCATAATAAGTAGATGGTTAGGAGTGCCTGCTTGGGTATGTGATATATACACTTGTTCTGAGGAATCATGTCCTGTCAATCCTGTGCCAAATGCCTCCAGCACCCATGGACACCAAACACGAGACAGAAGCACTGCTCCCTACAGTATTTTACCACACCTGTGTAATGCACTGGGCAGGATGCTCTGAGAAAGGAGCTGTGACCTCCAGGGGAGTTATCTCCCAGCAGAGGGTGGGGATCCCTGCGAGCTGTCCACATCACCACCACCTCACTGACTGCATATACAGAGCAAGCCTTTACTGAGAGTTATGTGTCAGCTTAATTTACCTCATACTTGTTGGAATTGAACAGTATCTCCTCTCTGTCATCTGCACCAGCTTTGACCTGCCTTCTGATTTTATGTGTGCATTTTAAACACTTAGGCCTGAGCAGGAGAACCTGAGGCAGGTGAGATGCACATTAATACAGGTGGCTTGTGGCTGCACTGACCACCCCAGGTTCACAAGGTGCAGAGATGCTACTTCATACATTAGCATCCATAAAATTTCCCCTGCAGCACAAATTCCACCTGCACTACCCCTGAGGATACTTTTAATTAATTTGAACCCAGAGGAGACACAACATATTTATGTCAGGGGTATGGAGATGGAAGAGCAATTTGTATTATTTGCCAACATGCACTTAAGGAGGGAACTGCTATAATGGGGTTGTCTAAAACAAACAGTTTTAAATATTTCTCATTATAGCCCGCTATGTACATTTCAATGAGTGCTTTTTCTCTCCCTGCAGAGTTCTGCTAACAGTAATTTCTCTTTGTTTCCTTTCAAAGAAAACCCAAGTCCACACACAGGCAGTGGGCTGAGAAAATTGCTAAAAAAACATCAGGAACCTGCTGTCCCTGTTCCTGTCCCTGTGTGCTCTTATTCCATCCCTGCACTCCACAGAAATGTCTTGTTAAACCAGAGGTCTGAATATGTGTTCAGACCAACCAAATTACCTTAATGACATGGCTTATAGAAACCAATGTTTATTCCACTATTATTGTGAAAAGGTTTTGATAAAAAAGGCTTTTTTTTTGTTCATCTTCGCGGGCAGCAATAAGCAGAAGCCTCTCACACTAATATTAACCTTCATTTAATACAGAAAAGGTAATGAAACTGAAGGTAACTTTAGCATCTGCAAAGCTAAAAATCTTTAAAGAGTTGAACTAAATTTCTGTGAAGCTCCATCAGCAGGTTTTTTTTACCACACCGAGGTGTTGAGACAGCACTGGGGCGAGGGGCTCACTTGGGTTCCCTCAACACATCAAACTGCACTGGGGAGTCTCTGAGCCTGTGGGGAATGCTGGCGGTGGCTGCAAAAGGAAGCTGATATGATCATCTTCCAGGGTCAGTGCCTTATTCTTTTCAGAAAAAAAAAAAAAGCAAGCAAGAATGGATTACTGAAGTTGTCCATCCCATAGCTCTCCTATCAGACTCTCAGTTGCAGCACTATTTTTTTTTTTTTATATATTTTTAGAGCCTGACTGTACTTCAATAGGAATTTATAATTGGGCTCTAAAAATGGCCTTTAATAGAAATTGTCTACACTGAGCTTCAGAGTACAATTTCAGAAGTTTTTTTTTTACTATTCATCAGCTGCAGGGACAGAGGAAACTGGAGACTTTGTTTCTCTGTGGTTTTGACAAATCCTCAGCCCGTGACCAATGGAATAGTGCTGAGTTATACTAGATAGGGACCAAGTCCTTTAGGTTCAAAGTTGATAAAAGAAAAACCAAACAAAACAAATTCAACCAGTCTTAGTTTGAGGTGGCGTCTACCCTTGCATGACTAAAAGAAAGCAGTGTTAAAAAGTTGGATCAAATATGATACTTCTTTGGGTAACCTTTGAACTTACCATCATCCTTGGTCCTTTCTATGACTGCAGGGGAGCTGGGGACTCCATCTCCAATCCGAGTGAATGCCAGCACCTGGATCTCATAGAGCATGTACTTCCTCAGGCCAGACAGCAGGAAAGACTGAGTGTGGTTACCTCTTACTGTTTGGCTCTTGGGTTCAGAATCTACATCTTTTGCTTTAAAAAGTATCTGCAGAATAAGTGTATATGAAATATAGACAGAAAAAGATTGTTACATGAGGACTGAAAAGAGGGGTATGCATTTTAGATTCCTCCTTCTCACAAAATATAAAATTAGATTGTATTCACCAATCATCCATTTCAAATACAGCTTCTTCAGCTGACTTATGAATAATATAAATATCCAGCAGGTGAATAATAAATAACAAATGCAAAAACATATCCAAGCAATGCATTCCAAATTAAATAAGCATGAAACTCCATTACATACCTTGTAACCCAGGATGAGACCATTCTGCTCGGACTCAGGGACTGCAGCCCATGTCAGAAGGATCTGGGTTGAACTCACAGCTTCAGCAGAGACATTCTCAGGAGGAGCCGAGGGCACTGGAGGCACATGGCATTACCAGAAAGCAAAAACAGGTGAGACATACCAGATCACTTTGCCCCATCTCCCTATCTGCTTGGGATCGTTCCAAGATCCCACAGAAGAGGATGCAAGACCCAAAGGACTGGAATAGGTTCTAGACAATCCCTTCTTTTATGTATTCATTCGACATCATCTTTACATTTCAGCCTGCTTCACAATTTCTTGTGAGTTCATCTCAGAAATCACAAAAGCTAAACATTTAATACTAATTAGTGTCTACACACAGACAGTAAATATAGCCAGACATGAATACATTTCCAGTTCTATATATTTGCAGTAATTAGAGTCAAGTTGAAATTGCTGAACTTCTACAGAAGTCTATTTCCTAGTATTTCTTTCCCATACATTTTATTTCCCTATGCCAAAAGCTTGAAATCTTTCTGAATGGGAGTTTAACTTATGGTACAATCTGTTCTAACATGAAGTTTTACGCCACTCTGGCTTCCTATATTATCTGAAAGGAAATTATAGCATCTTGTCTAGAGCTAGCAATAATTTCAACCACTGGATTGCACTCCCGGTTCCATAAGAAGTCCTTTAACCTCTAAGCCTTTTGATTATGTGATAGTGCTCAACATTTGCAATGCATCAATTATAGACAGATACATTAATGCAAGGTGTATTTTCATGGACTGATACGGTGTAAATGAAGGATATGCCTATTTCATTTATGTTGCAAAATTGGCTCTTATGAAACTAGAAACATCATTAGGACTGATGGCAGAGGAACACTGTAATTTTCTCCGACTCGAGAGAAAAGCAAACTTGCATTTTCTCATGCCATTAAAACTCTAACTGCTGCAGAACAGCCACACAACTGCAAGCTTTTGTAGGCAAGCTTAATAGCATGCCGTGTTAAGCAAGCAGAATTCGAGGCTATTTTTAAGAGTTCACATTTTATGTTGCCCTTTTGCATTTTTTTTCTTTTTTCCTGTGGCATTTCCAACATCTGAAGGGTACAGCCTTTTCTAAAGCATGATGCACCTGTCAGACCTCAAGAGAACCTTTCAAGCAAGTTATGTTACACAAGCACTTATGGACAGTAAGGCTTGATTAGGTTCTGAATATATCACAAAAAAGAGCACAAATCTCTGCCAAAAGCAATGCTTTCCTGCCTGTCCGAATGAAAGAACAGATCTGCTGTTTTGAAGGCGAGCTCCTGAAGCTCCTAGCAACATGAACGAGATAATGAGAATGACACCAGAATTAATATAAATTGGAAAAAAAACTCACCGCCCCCCACCCTTGTGCACTCAAGGTTAACCACAGAGATAGTAATTTCTGAAACAATTTCCCTGTTGCCAATTATTTGGGACATGAGAAACAGAGCACCTCCACACAACACCGCAGCAGACCAAAATCCAATTTTTTTTCCCCTCCAATGCTGAAGTGCTTTTTTGAAAAAAAAAAAAAAAAAAAAAAAAAAAAAAATCTTCTAGATTTATCCCCCACAAGGATATAATTATGTTAAAGGAAAATAGATTGCCAGGAGCCACGAATGTCTTTGGATAGCTGCCATAACTTTATCTGTAGATCTTCACAGCGAACTATTCCCACATGAATCACTTCTAGAGAGAGAAAGGGTGGAGGTAGGTCGCAGGAAACCAGGATGTGTAGAGGGAAGAAGCCCTTTCCAGCCATGTTTATTTATATTTTATGTGGTTTGAAGCCTTTCAAGAGAAAAGAAGTTTCTTTATTTTACAAATATTTATTTTCCTCTTTGATCAGCAGCCACGAGATTTCCTGAATTCACAAAAGGTGGAGGCTGTGCCCGGGCTGGCCCTGTGTGCATGGTTGCTATGAGGTGTGTGCATGATCAGGCTGCTGGCGTGGGGGATTTGAAGGCTAAAAAAGGAGAGAAAGGACTATCTGAAGACTTATTAGCCCAGACTCCTCTTAATTGCCAGTGACAGCCAGAGCAGCTAAATGTCCCCTCATGCTGGAAAGGAATTGAAGTCCAATGGCAAAAATACTTGCGCTCATCGAGTGTGTTTCAACTCTCCAGCTCCCACATTAGTGCTGAGGATTTTATTTTAATGTGGATGTATGAATTCAGAACCTGCGAGTCATATTATGGATCTCATTGTTGCCAGACTTTTAGAAGTAACAGACTTTAATCAACCCTTTAAGAATTAATTGAAACATAACCTTCACTTCTCCAACCCTTCTCCTCTCTCAGGATATTGTGATTCACAGAAATAATAGTTTGCTAAGACTAATTAGTGGTTTAACTGAGGCACTATAGATCCCTACTTCCTCTGCAAGTTCCCTTCTTTAATGCTGGTTTCCTTAACTCTTGCACTGAAGACTCTTACGAGCTCCACAGTTGAGTTCTCATTAGTAACCTGCAAGAACAGTACAGAAGCCAAGCAACAGTGTCCAAAAAAATCTCAGAGCTCTAATGAAATGAACCGGAAACACTGGAATGAAATGATGAGCTAATCCAGCAAAATGCCAGCTGCATGATGTACTTTGGAAGATCAAACGTAAGAAATTATAGAGTTACTGGCACTTTGCACTGGAACTTCAATAAGAATTCAAGTTTTTAAGGTTATCCATGTTGGCATCTAAGATCATGCATCCTCTTTCTACATCTGACATAGCCATAATTGATATATAGCAAATGATGCTGTTTCATGTCACTAACTGGCCAAAAGCAGCTTTTAATAAGCTAGTTTGTATTCTGGCTTTCGAAGAAAACTAGATAGTGGGATGCAGTGGTTCTCTACTTTTCCAGCTCATTTTAGCTGAACATTCATCACTGTTTTTTGAAAATAAAAATTAAAGTGGCATATCGTCCATCTGATGCCAATTAAGAAGTGCAAATTTCGAGCAGGGCTCGTGGCTGTCAAAAGCAGAGTAGCTGCAATCCATAACCATTTTGCCTCTAAAATTAGATTCCACAGGCCAAATTCTCTGCTTGTCTAAGCTGACAAATACCCACAGTGACATTGGACCACATATGAATTACCAAGTGATGCTTTACACACCACAGTAACTGCTTCACGAAGGTCAGCCTCTGAAACACCAAGAGATTGATCCCTGCCACAGATATGTGCTTGTATAGGAGCTGATTGTGTGAGACAAGTATACACACTAAGATAGCTCTGTATTAGGAACCCCAAAAATATTAAGGTGCTGGGTTAGAAGTATTTGAGATTAATTGGTTGAAAATAAGAGTGTATCTATCAGGAAGCAGCCCTGTCAAGGTTGTTCTAATACATTAAAGGTCTCCACATTTTCTTGCTTTTTTCTGTATTGTGCCTACCATCATTGTCAATTTATTGAGTGGAGATTGAGCTTGTTACTCAACAGTTATCTTATGCTGTAAAATTTAATGAGTTATTTAATTTCAAACATTATAAAAACGTCTATTGATAAAACTTGTCCTGCTAAAAATCCTAATTCATCCCCCCTCCACCTTCAGCTGCTTGCAACCCTATCCCAGATTCTAATTGTAGGGTTTCCCAACTGTTTTTCAAGCCTGGGTTACCAAAACTTATAGCATGATTTACTCTCTTATAGTTTATTTGGTTTCAATATGTTTGGTATTCAAGAGCTTCAGAAACAAGAGAGTGCCAGTAACAGCATGCTCCCTAATTGTTAGCACGTGTGCTCAGCAATTAGTGATATGATTGCACATCCTAGAATAAACAGAAGTGCTCAAGTACAGCTTTATTTTCAATAAAGATTTTGGACTGTGGTGGTCACACTGTCACTAGATACCACGAGCTGACACAGCACCCAGGCTCCTTGGACAGTGTGAAACACAGAACCATGAGTTCTGCCAATGAGCCACCCTGTGATCCTGACCAAGGCACCTCTGGCCAGCTGTGAGGGATGTTCACAGCCTGCAGCACCAGGCAGACTAAACTTCCCTAAGACCCTGCATCTACAAAATGGAAAAAATAAGTATTTAGGACACCTGCTTTTAAAGTACTTTGAAAACTTCAGCAATAAATAGAATTTTTCTGAGAGTACAGAAGACAGACCTAAAAATGCTTTGACTGCTCTCTCTGGCTTTAGACATCTTTTATTTGCATTTTAACCCCATTTGACTGTGCATACAGGTTAACTGCAGATTCCTTGAAGTTCTCTCATGCAGCTCGCTGCTATGCCAGCACTTCTTATATGTTCTAAATCTAAGAAGATACAGCCAAAAGTCTAAGCCCTGACTTGCTCTATTCAAGAAATCAGATGTTGGTATCAAAGAAAACGCACGGAAAAACCCAAATGAGCCCTTATGGCCTAGATCACAGCTTCGTGTTATTTTGATCCTGGTTTCTGTGTGCCTCCTACAAGCAGTTTCAAGTCAACCTTCTTTTAATACTGCAAGAGAAAATGCCAAATACACATGTAACCTCTGATCTTTAGATGCTGAGCAAGAGCACTATAATCCTAAGGTTTTATGAAATCACTTAATCTTAGTATTTACTACGTATCAAAAGAAGTGCTTGAAGAGCAGCAGAAAGGAGAAAGTGGAGAATACGATATCTTTTTATTATGATACAGAACACTTCAAAACTATTTGGTCTGGGTCATGCTATCTCTAGCTCCACCACAAGCACACCTTGTTTAAAATACCTCTGGCAATACCTTTCCAATTACAGGTTCCCAAAAAGCAGCATTTTAATGGATGGGGATGACTTTGTTTAGCTTTCTCCATGGCTAGTTTATCTGAACCAACAGACCAAATCCTCCCCACCAAGTAATGCTGCATGGTACAGAGCACACAGAAACACGTGTGTCTGCAAGTGTAGGGTGTGCACAGGATTCAATTCCAAAAGACTTCTAATGAAGAACAGTAGGAAAAAAATAAGAAAAAAATATCAGCGTTGAACGTTGCATAAATACAGGTCATAAAGAGCTTTTATTATTAAACTTTTAAACCATATATATAATCCATTTTGTTATTAATTTGCAATATAAATTTTAATGTGTTAGGTGTACTGTTGGGTAGGTTTGGGAGTAGGTTTTTTGGAAGTTTACAGCTCGGGAGCAGTTTTTCAAGCTCTGTCTTTACTGTTGCTACTAAGCTAACAATAATTTACTGTTACTTGGGAGAGAGTTTGCTTATGATATTTGAAGTCTCTATGTTAGCATGGACAGTTCAGCTAGACAATATAGTACTTGTGTTCCAGATCTATATGCAGGTTATGTCTATATAGCCTTGTACAAACAATTTTAGAAGGCAGTTTTGAAAACACGTCATCAAAAGCTCAGATGATTATTTCTGCATGGGGAGAAAAGCTCTCAAAAATAACATGTGCCCTTCTAGAAATATTTGGTGCTGAAATTAATTTACAGATAACCACAACTGTGAGAAAATCTGCCTGAGCCTAGGAGTAGACAGGAAAAGGGGCAGAATGAGGGGCAGTGAGGTACTGGGGAAGGAGAGGAAGCATGAGGGACCTGCTCAGCCAGAGAACATTGCGTACAAGCTGCTCGCTGTGCTGTCCATACTGCTGCCAAACAAGGGTGGGAATGGGGAGAGGCTGGTTTGTTTGCTTTAAATAAATAAGTTAAAGGTTTATGCATGAAAGCAGGGTAGGAAATAAATTACTTCCTCAAATGCTTATATGGTTTTCTGCCTTCATTGCATGTAAAGACAATGGCAAAAAATGGTGAAGTTCTTGAACGTGTCCTTCACATCAGACATGGTGCTCCAGCTTAGCACCTTTGGGTGCTTTCAGGTGTTCAAAAAACGAGTATGTACCACACTTGAGGCTACCTATGGTCTAGTGGTTAGGGAAATGTTAGGAGGAAGACTGGACTTGATGATCCTGGAGGTCCTTTCCAACCGCAGTGATTCTGTGACTCTATGACTTACCGGACTCCCGTGTGCGACCTCTCACTACTTCACTCCACGGTCCTGCCCCGATGGCATTGAAAGCCTGGATCTGCAGTTCGTACTCTGTCCACTCCTCCAGATCTTCAATCGTGTACTCTCTCTCCAGTCGGTCACTAATAACTTTTGTCAGGGTGGGAGACTGCAGATCCACACGCCAGAACTTTATCCGGTACCCCACTGACTCTGGATTGCCATTGTACTGTGTGTCAGGGAGGGGCTGGCAAACGAGACAGAAAAGCACAATATTCCCATGCAGAACACACTGCCCGGGCTTTCAAACTATACACCAAGGCTGCCTGAACTCATGCGAAGCCACAGGAAGGCAAAAAAAATATCGAGTTGATTTTCTGTTTTATTTGATGATCTCTAAATTTCTGTGTTGCTTGAAAGTTCCATTTTTACCTTCATTTTGATCCAAACAGATATGCTCACAGAACTATGCCATTTGCTGTGGGCGTACCAACAGAGATGATATGAACACAATATATTTCAGAGCTTTGTGATTAATTATGGAAATGAATGATAAATTGCTGAAGCATGTGACAAATTCATTTATCGTACATTTTTTACTTTTTTTACTGACTCTCTGCCTACTCATTTATCAGCAGAGATTTATTCTTGTATTCTAATTCCCCAAGCAATTTAGAGATTAAAATATGAAATAATTAGCCTACTTCATGAAGTTTAGAGTTTTTCCCCATAAAACTAACTACATGATGCCACAGATGGCTGAGATTCAGCTCTGAATCACTGGGAAAGTTTGATACACATTAACATCTCACAGCTTAGAAGACTGTATCCCACAGGCAAGCAGGGCTAGAAAAGTGACCCTTATTCTGTAGGAAGGAAGGAATTCCCAGCTCCCAGGGGGACACAGATTCACCTGCAGGTCTTGGAAAAAAATGAGATTAAACACTTTCAAATAGTGATGTTATTAGATACGAAAAAGGCATATTGGGTCATTTTGAGCCTTGGGTGCTGATCCTCCTGAACCCTGAACAGTTTGAGCCATGAGAAACAGGCTTCCACAGCAGGGAAACAATCTTAAAAATGTTTTAAAGTCCCTTGAAACAATGTTGAGTTAATTTTGTCTGAAGAAGTGCAGGTCTGGATATAGTACCACAGGTCTAACAACATGGGCATGTTTTTCACATGGAAAGAGCACGAGTGAGTTATGTGGATCCTATCAAATGAGTTGCAATGGCTTTTCTACAGATAGTGAGGTGACACCTTCAAGTTTGATGTTTTGGTCTTTTAAGGTTCAGAATTAAGTGCAGTGTCCCATTGAGAAATTGGAATTATTCCTTTCTGACGGGAGAAAAACCTTTTTGTTTCTAGGCTGATTTTGATTTCCAGCCATAATGAGTTTATGCATGGAAAAGCTAACATTTGGGCAGAAGGAAACCTGTGCTTCATCAACTTCACACCACAGTAAACCCAGTGGAAAATTCTGTCTAACAAGGGAGAAGAGAAACCATTCTGGAACAGGTTAATTGCCAAGTAAATCCCACCGTGGCAACTCTGCAGGTAACCGAGACAGTCAAAGGGGCACAACAATATCATCAATCACTTCATCTTCACGATTAATCTTTTCTGTCTACATTTTATCACAGAACTCCACACCCTTTCACATAAATACAATCTTCCTGCAGAAGCTTCATGTGCAAACTTTGCTGACTTTGAACGTGCAGGGTGACCGCCAATGGCTGACGTGCACCTTCTGGGGACTCTTTTGTGCAGAGCAAGTCACTGAGTCCTAGGAAACTGCAAATTGGCCCAAGTGTTATATCCCTGTCCCACATATTGACCCAGGCTGTGGTACTAGAGAGTCTCAACAGCCAAAGTTTTACACACGGGCATATATTCCCCCGCAGAAGCGGCAGAAATAGCAGCAGTAGGCAATTTAGGTGATTAATAAGGCACTTAAGGTAAGTCTGGGATTTCCGACTACTCCCAAAAAGGAAATCATTTTGCTGCCACTGCCTCTGCTGAAGGCAA